AAAACTACAACTAAACAAATTGCATCTATCATGCAGATGACTGGAAGCTATCTAAAAATATCCCTTCTGTCAGAAAAGATACTTAAACAAACACACCTTTGCGTACAGAAAGAGAAGTGTCTATTTTTAATGTTTCAACACCACCTTTGCTTGCATCAACACAACGCACTCCTGCAGCTCTTCGGCTACATTTTCGGCGCCCCACTGCGCTGCAGCACTATTGCACTTTAAGCCGCTGCTTTGGAAAAAGCTGAAGTTCTGACGAGAAGAGCCATTTATCCCGCAGGGAGAAGCCGTCGCTCATCCCCCGGGGCCGGGAACGGACTCCGGCACCGGCAGAGCTCCAGTGACCCCTAACGGAGAACTCCCCGCGGTGCGCCTGCCCCGGCCGCGAATCGAGCCACGGCACCCAAAAACTTCTGCTTTCCCAGCCTGAACTCCGGCACTTGGACTTTTCATTATTGAGCAGGAAACGTACTTATGTACAGCTCACGCTCAAGGTCACTGTGCCTACCAGGACGCCGCCTTTGTATCTGGACCATTTGAAATGTTCTAAGCAGGAAGGAAGAGAAAGGTGAACAAACGCGGTCATTCTGACAACTTAGGAGAAAGCAGATTCAGCTTTTTAAAAACTAGAGCCAACCGGTTTCACACCTGTCAGCCAGAAACAAAACCAAAATGTTAAAGACTAACACCTCAAGTCGACCCATTTAAACTATTTTAAAAGGAAGATCTGCAATCAGAGCAATCAAGACTCTGTATAAATGGCAGCACTAACCTGAAAGATATTTCAAGTATTCAAAGATATTTCAAGTATTTCTGCCCTTTCCTCCCGAAGTGAGATACCTACAGCAATGAACTGTTTTCATTACAGGGAAAGGATTCTTTGCTCCAGCAAAACTAGTACCATTTCTACTGAATGAAAAACTGCCAGCACGAGAAGGGAGAATGAATTCATGCTAGTTGGTGCAGTTCGTTTTTGTCTTTCACAAACTGCAGAGATGAATTCATGTGAATGAATTCCCAATACAGGAAAGCAACCCATCTGGAACTGGGCTGCATTCCCCATTACTCTTCTAGAAAAGGTTTTTGTTTGTGTTTCTTTTTTGCTAGCTTGGTTGCTCTGCCCCCCCCTTTTCCCCACACACCTTGTTTTCCTTTCCCACCTCTGAAATGTACCTGCTATAAATCTTCCTGCCTCAGTGAGATTTTTGGCACACTGAAAGGTAAAGGCGTGCAACAAGAGCATCACGGAGCCAAAGCGAGCACCGACAGCTAGCAGGACAGCCCCATGTAGACAACTGACAGCGCTAGCCTGTAAGACAACCATCGGCTTCCTATGCCAACTGGATTAACTAGAAATCCCTGCCCAAGTCAGAGCTACCCCATTTCCAATCCTGCTTAAATCTAGCACTCTAAGTAACGATCAGTTTATGATACCACTTTCACAAATAATAATTATAAAAAGGCAAGCCAATTAAGGCAAACCCTTCACTGCCAGAAATTCCCACCTATTCAAGAAGTAATAAATAACAATTAAATTAAATTAAATTAAATTAATCTCTAGTTGACAGAGTATTTTGGGAGGCAGTGCTGAAGGGTAAAGGAGTCCAGAAGACTAGACATTTTTCAAACAGGGAATCTTAAAGGTGCAGGAGCAGGCTATGTCCTTGTGCCAAAAAGCTGGCAGGGAAGACGAACAGCCTCGCTGAACAGCGATTTGGGGGGAACTCAGGAACAAAAGGAGAGTTTATGATCTTTGGAGGAAGGTGCAGGCAACTTAGGATGACTACAAGGCTGTTGTGAGGTTATGCAGGGCAAAAATTAGAAGGGCCAAAGCCTAATTGGAACTTGATCTGTCATGAAAGGCAATAAAAAAGGTTTCTACAAATACATTAACAACAAAAGGAGGGTTAAGCAGAATCTCCATCCTTTATCGGATGTACAGAGAAACATAATAACAAAGGATGGGGAAAAGGCTGAGGTACGTAATGTCTTCTTTACCTCAGTCTTTAATAATAAGACCAGTTGTTTTCCTGGTGCTGGACAGGCTGGGTTGAAGCGCTGAGGTCAATCGTATGAAGTTCAACAATGTCAAGTGCTGAGTCCTGCACTTGGGTCACAAAACCCTTCGGTGACACGACAGC